ACAGTTATCTCGTTCGTTTCTCGTTGGACTTGCAATGAATTAGATTTAGAGGTTTCGCGCGAAACCGTGAAACGCGTTTCTCGAGACTGGTTTTTACAAGAGAAAGAGAGAGGGGGAAGAGAGAGAGAGAGAGAGAGAGAGAGAGAGAGAGAGAGAGAGAGAGACACGTGGGAAACAATAGCGGAGACTCTAATCTGGAGAGCACTGAATCGACCTTTCTTCCTTTTCTTCTTCTTCTTCTTCGTCTTCTTGTCTCTTTCTGGCGAACCCTTTGCTCCCGTGCCTTGCCGCGCCTTTTCTTCGCTCCCTACCGGCGTTTTTCACGACCCTAAGAGAGAGTTTCGTACCACGAAGGGCTACCGGTAGAACAGTAACTGTAAAGGTAATCCCTCTTCCCGACATTATCTGCATGCCTCGGTAAGCCCGCAAAGAAGCGACAGAAAATAGAGATAGAGACAGAGATAGAAGAGAGAGACAGACAGGAAAGGGGGAGAGAGAGAGAGAGAGAGAGAGAGAGAGAGAGAGAGAGAGAGAATGAGAGAACGAGAATTTTTTCTATTTTTCTTAACGAGAGCGGCAGTTACGTGACGGTTTATACTATTGTTTGTTGAGAAAGGACACCTTGAGCTATGGAATACATATAGACTGTCTCACAGTTCGCGAGTTTAACCCTTTCGACTCTGACGTCCATTAAAATAATAGGACATCAATTTCACTGTCATTTATCGTTCTTTCACGTTATTATGATAATTGTGTCTTATACGAATGGAGACATATTTTGTATGATTGCTGTTCATTTATGCGACAAAAATTAGGAAATGAGAAAATTCATTTCAATAATTCTATGACGAACTTGAAGTCGAGATACTAATAATTTAGAATTACAGATTCGTTGACAAAAGATTTTTCGTCTGCTCTACAATTAGTACATTCATGGAAAATAATGCTTCTTGTTTAATTAACTGCATTTCAGATTGGTTTTAATGGATATACATCGTGATTGTTAATCCACCATTGCTCGAATTTAAGTCATAATATATCTAGATATGACGTGCGTCTGCTTGAAACGCAGTTAATTTCAAGCGAAAAGGCATTAATGACCTCGAGTGTATATAAATTGTAATAAAGCAAGTAGATTACACAAAATTTTTTTTACCTAAATTCAACAGATTTTAATAGAATTTGAATCAAAAATTTCATTATAGGATGGATAATTTTCCAAATTAGAATGCGAGCAAGAAATAATTTCTTTATGCTAAACACAAATCAATACTAAATTCACAAGCTTCATCAACAATTAAAGTCGCTGTACAGCAACTAAGAAATCTATTAGATACGTTAGATTCACAGAATCTGAATAATCTCTGAAGATTAAAGTATAATAATATTCTATTAAAAATCCAAGTAGAATATTCTACAATAAATATTTGAGAAAAACTTGTATCGAATGTTGTACAAAGAAAGCAAAGAAGAATCGCTCTATCGTTGGAGATCTCACTGGAGTGACGCTAAAATCGCGAATCCCGCGCGGCGATTCCCGTTGGATGGAAGAGGATGGTTCACAAGAGGGGGTGGACGAGGAAAGGGCGAAGAGATAACGAGAGATAAAGAGAGAGAGAGAGAGAGAGAGAGAGAGAGAGAGAGAGAGAGAGAGAGAGAGAGAGAG